GTGCGTGGGGTTTAGGGTGAAAGCCGAAAGCAGATCGATAACGCTGCACCATGCAACTATCATAAGAAAACTCATGCCCTAAAGTTGGGCACCTGGAATGTTTGGATAATGACCCCATGGCTTTTCTGACAACCTGCAGGAAATATACGAAGCATGCAAGACAGCTAGCATCAACATGGAACTGAGTAGGCTGCAGATGGACATTGTTGCCTTGCAAGAGACAAGATTGCCAGAATCGGGATGTGTCAAAGAAAAAAAAAATCACATTCTTCTGGCAGTTAAAACCATTGAATGAGACCAGGGAATATAGTGTTGGCTTTGCAGTTAGAAATACTCTGCTGAAATCCATTGTTCCACCTACTGTGGGAAGTGAAAGAATCCTGTCCCTGCAGCTCCATTTATCAGCAGGGCTGGTCACCCTTATCAGTGCATATGAACCAACACTGTTGTCTACTGCAGAAGTCAAAGGTAAATTATACGACAACCTGGCAGCTACTATTTAAAAAGTCCCTTGGACTGCAAAGAGAGCAAATGTATCCATTCTTAAGGAAATCAACCCTGAGTGCTCACTGGAAGGGCAGATCCTGAAGCTGAGGCTCCAATCCTTTGGTCATCTCATGAGAAGAGAAGACTCCCTGGAAAAGACCCTGATGTTGGGAAAATGTGAAGGCAAGAGGAGAAGGGGACGACAGAGGATGAGAGGGTTGGACAGTGTCATCGAAGCGACCAACATGAATTTGACCCAACTTTGGGAGGCAGTGGAAGACAGGAGGGCCTGGCGTGCTCTGGTCCATGGGGTCACGAAGAGTTGGACACGACTTAACGACTAAACAACAACAACAAATGACTTGAATGAGGGAGGGCAACTTTTAAACATCCAGCAGCAGAATGGATCCTGACTGTCCTAGATGAGAAGTCTGAACATTATAATCTAAGACCAGTAACTGCTCTGACCTCTGCTGACTCTGCAGGACCCTGATGTTGGTCTTGTGTAGTGGACAGGATTATACCCTCAAGCAGAAGCAAAAGAAACTTTTAAAAGGCCACAGGGGAGGGACAGAAGGGAAAATATGTTTCTCTTCTTCTCTGCAGTAGCCAGAATCAAACCACTAACCGTTAGCAGGCCTTTGTTGCAAAGGTTGTAAGAGATTTGCCACACTCTGGGAAGCTGGAAAAAGTCTGTTAGCTGGATACCAGGGGAAGTTGCTCCTGAAGGGCTTTTTTAAAAATTTATTTTGCAGGGTTTCCTATTGCTGAAGGAACAGGATATGGTGAAATGCTAAGCTGAAACATTCAGTTGAACAGCCTAGAAGTCAGTGACCCTAAAAGGCAAGGGACTCTGTCTATGTTTCTCCGGCCAGATGTGGCAAATATTACCACAAAAGTATTATGGATGTGATGAGAGAATTGGTATGGCATAATCATTAGAGTGTAGGTCTCTGGAGACCTGCGTTCGAATCCCCCTTTGACCATGAAGCACCCTGGGTGACTTTGGACCAGTCAGTCTTTCTCAGCCTGGCCTACCTCACAGGGCCACTGTGACAATAAAGTAGAGAGGAGTGGATCCCGTCTCGACCTCATTGGAACAGAAGGGGCATATAAATGTTAGCAATATATGTAAATAAATGTGTTCATGCCCCATGAAGTGGAACCAGAGCATGACCCTAATAGGACTTTTGTGGTCATTTAGTTATTTAAGGAGGGATTTTACCAGTTCCAGGGACGTGGTGGCGCTGTGGGCTAACCCGCAGAAGCCTCTGTGCTGCAAGGTCAGAAGACCAGCAGTCGTAAGATCGAATCCACGCGACAGAGCGAGCTCCCGTTGCTTCGTCCCAGCTCCTTGCCAACCTAGCGGTTCGAAAGCATGTAAATGCGGGTAGATAAATAGGTACCACCTTGGTGGGAAGGTAAAACGGCATTCCCTAGTCATGCTGGCCACGTGACCATGGAAACTGTCTTCGGACAAGTGCTGGCTCTATGGCTTGAAAAACGGGATGAGCGCTGCCCCCTAGAGTCGGGCATGACTGGACTAAAAATGTAAAGGGGAACCTTTACCTTTATCAGTTTCACCATCACCATCATCACCTCCGAGAGTTTCCGTGGCTGAGCAGGGTTTTTGACCCACATATTCTAAGTCCATCCCTCTATCCATTGCACCACACTGTGTATATTGAATGAATGAATGAATGAATGAATGAATGAATGAATGAATGAATGAATGAATGAATGCGTAATATTCCAATTGGCAGAGTGCATAAATGTGCATTCCAAAATGCCAAGTGCATAAATGATGGAAAAGCTACTGTTTAAACTATGATAGCCACATCCCTTTATCTGCAAATACTGGAACTTACCATATAACACATCTGAGACCATCTGTCTCAGCACTGCAGGGTGTCCATGCTCTTTAACCATTCTGCATCCTACCACTGGCTTGGTAACTCTTGATGTATGAAAGTGCAGAGATACATTTTGTGTTGCAGCCCAATTAAGCAGTTTATAAATCAACTCAAAAAATAGGTGTGCCCCAACAAAAAAATATATGTATTGTTTTGTTGGGGGCACACCTATATATAACTTTGTAGGGATCTTGGATCAGCAAATTAGCCCAGATGTAGGAGATAGTGTGCTCCTAGTAAAGTTAAAGGTAAAGGTTCTCCTTGACAATTTTTGTCCAGTCGTGTTTGACTCTAGGGGGCGGTGCTCATCCCCATTTCCAAGCCGTAGAGCCAGCGTTTTGTCCGAAGACAATCTTCCGTGGTCACGTGGCCAGTGCGACTTAGACACGGAACGCTATTACCTTCCCACCGAGGTGGTCCCTATTTATCTACTTGCATTTGCATGCTTTCGAACCGCTAGGTTGGCGGGAGCTGGGACAAGCAACGGGAGCTCACTCCGTCATGTGGATTCGATCTTAGGACTGCTGGTCTTCTGACCCTGCAGCACAGAGGCTTCTGCGGTTTAGCTCACAGCGCCACCGCCTGCTCTGTGCCAAATATAGGGATGTTTGGGCAAACGGCTTTCGAATGATGATTTCTAATGTAAGTCCCAGGACTCCATTGTAAACATTGATAACCTTTTCTTTCTGCAGATTTAAAACATTAAATACATTGGAAAGACCAAATTTGCATACCTTTGAAGGAGAATGGGTAGCCCCAACCTCCTTTTTCGGAAGGTATCCAGGCTGCCGGGGATAATACTGATTTGAAAAAAAGCCATTTGAGAGGGAAAAGTCTTCTGGCTTTGTTCTCATACATCTATAATCTCAAACATTCTGAACACAAACATTTGTACACATTTGAGAGCAGCGTCTCAATGAATCATACCAAAAAGACTGTATACCCTAGCTCTGTGCCTATTTTGTGTTGGACATCTCTTAAGCATCTGCTGTTAGGTTGTTCTCTCTACCTACTACCCTCTCCTTCCTAGCAGTATTGTCTGTTCTGGGAAGTACTGCTGAGATCTTGCAAACTAACAGCTGTGGATTCGTCTATTGAGACTGCCCATCTCATGTCAGCTGTTCTTTTTTTTCCTACTGCTGTTCCTCACCTTTCCCAGCAATATCGTCTATTTTGGTCATTTCTGTATTTCAATTATATGTGGATGGCAGGATAGCCTCAGTGGACTCATTTTTGCTCACATGACCATACAGGCTTGACTTGACTGAGCACCCACTTTTCTGCTTTTTCTGGCTGTCTTCAGTATCTGCTCAGCTCTCCTCCACCTCCAAATTTCAAATGGATTGATTTGTGTTTTTCTTCACTGTCTTTCTTGTCCAGCAGGCCGAGGCAAAGAGGAAGTCACAAAAGCAGCAAAACCAGGGAGCTGGACAGGGGACATATTGTGTTTGTCTTTAGTGTGGAAGAGATTGTCACTCTTGAATTGGCCTCTTCAGCCACACTAGACGCTGTTCCAAGTCCTCCATAGAGAGCACGTCACCATAGTCTTTCGAGACTGAAGGATGCCTAACTAGCTAACTGCTGATCAGAGCCAGTTACAGAGCATCAACTTGTAAGAACAACTCCGATGACTTCTGATCCAGTTTGGGCCAATCACTGCCCTATACATATACTCCCCTATATGATGAAGTCAAGGTGGCCTGCAATACTGGAAAGAAAGAAAAAAACAGCAGATAAAGTATAATATTAAATAATGTTGAGATGAATAAACAAGCAGGAGTAAAAATCTATGGAAACGAGATTAGAACATTTATAAATATTAACATTGTGTGACTGCCACACACTTGCTTTTTAAATCAGGCTGTTTTTCGCCTGCCGGTGGAAAGAGAGGGACCAATGGAATAGTCTGGGTTCAGCCACGGAAAAAGCTTTCTCTCGCGTCCTCACTGCCCGAACCTGTGAAGCTGGTGGGACTGAGAGTGGAGTCTCCCTTTAGGATCTTAACACTCACGGGGGGCTCACCTGCTCGCTCCCTAGAAGCCACTCCTAGTTTTAGATGACAATATTGGGCCTTTCAGAAGTGGCTGGATGGCCACTCCAAGCATCTCTCACCCCCTGACAGTTCAAGATCTGGGCCACCTGCATCTTTTTATCCCCTCCGGGCTTGATGGACAAAGAAAGACTGTTTTGATCCTTCTGCAAGGCTACCTGGTCTAGGGTTGTTGGAAGCATTCAATGCAATGAAGAAATTGTTAGCTCTGACCGATGGCTACTTTGACCAGGATTTTCTAGGTCGACATCACTCGGAAATAGTGTCCCACCCCTTCCTCTGGGGGGAACCATGGGGCTGTGAGGCTTGGCCAAGGCCACATAGGCTAGCTCTTCTGCCAGGAGGGACCGTGGGGGAATTCAACTCCTCACCTCTGGCTCCAGAGCTGGTGACCTAACTCACTCACCTTTGTGGGCAGGAAAGGAAATGGGACCAAGTAGCCGCTCGTGTGACAAAGCTTGCACTCCGTTTGCAACAGTTGGCATGTTGAAATCAGACCCACAGGCCTTGCAACATTTCTGCCGTTCGCACAGCATGTCCCAATCAAAACAGCCTCTTATGAATAGGGAGCAACCCCAGGTTGGTTCAAGTCTTGCTCTCATCTCATCTTGGCAGATATTAAAACTAGAGACAAGAGAAAAAAAACGATGAAGGTTGTTTACCTTTTCTGCCTGCTGTTCTTCATGGCAGTCGTCCTTCCGTGGGGTAAGTGGCATTTCAATTTGGATGGACCCAGTAAGTCCCATCCTGGTAGATGATATTTAGCCATTGACCATATTGAAGAAAAAAACCTAGTTTGGGCTCTACCTAAAGATAATGGATAAAGACTGGGAACAGTCCAGCTGTACCTGAATTCCAACTGTCATTGGTCCCTGTAAAGAGGCTCAGGATGATGGGTATGAAATGCAACAACTTCTGAAAGGACAAACCGTAACCCCATCCCTTCTGTCTAGGGAAGGATTTTCCTTATCTTTATGGGGGCTCTTCTAATTAAGGTCATAAATGTGATTTATTTATTTATTTTGTCTTATTTGAGGGGCTTTCTCTCCAGGCTACAAATTAAATGAATGAATGAATGAATGAATGAATGAATGAATGAATGAATGAATGAATGAATGAATATTTTATAATTTTTTAAAAATGTTTTCTTAGCTGGTTCTTGTAGGTTTTTGGGCTATTTGGCCGTGTTCTGGAGGTTTTTATTCCTAATGTTTTGCCAGTCTCTGTGGCCAGCATCATCAGACGACAGGAGTTCAAACTCTGCCTGTGTTCTGGTGTAGTGTGTGGAGTAGTTAAGTATTTGTAGCTGTGGGATCAGCTTTTTGTTATCTTCAGAAGATTGGGTGATTTTTGTCATCAGGGTGTTTTTGTTATGGGCGTATTGTTGTGATAAGTGGGGAGATGATATGTCACTCTGATTAATGGGTGTCGTTAGCTAGTTTTTTGCGTGCAGTGATCACCGGTCCTTGCGGCTGGGTAGAGTTTGTTGACCTTTTTGCAGGCCGTATTTTTCAGTGCTGGGAGCCAGGCTTTGTTTATTTTTAGACTTTCTTCTTGTTTGTTGAAGCTCTGCTGGTGTTTGTGGATTTCAGTGGCTTCCCTGTGTAGTCTAACATAATGATTGCTGGTGTTTTCCAGTACTTGTTTTGAAATAGGATTTCATGTCCAGCTTGTTTTAGGGCATGTTTAGCTGCTGCCAATTTTTCCGATTGTTTTAGTCTGCAGTGTCTTTCCTTTTCTTTGATTCTGATCTGGATGCTGCCTTTTGTGGTCCCAATATATAGCTGACCAAAACTGCAAGGTATCCGATATTCTCCTGCCATGGTGAGGGGGTCCCTTTTGTCCTTTGCTGACCATAACATTTGCTGTATTTTTGTGGTGGGCCTGAATACTGTTTGTAGGTTGTGTTTTTTCTACAGTTTCCCCATTTTGTCCGTGGCCTCTTTGATGTATGGCAGAAATACTTTATTGAGTTACATACAGCACTGATGTTACCTGTCTGTCATGGGTTTGGAGGGAAAGTTCCATCCTATGGGGAGTGGAAGGCGGGACATCAGGAGGAGGGGCTGTACTGTATATATATGTGGAGCGTGTGTGAAGCTGAGGGGAGAAGAAGCAGCAGCTGGGAACAAGAAGCTGGTGTGGGAGTCTGTGTGTCAGACAGGGTACTACTGTGTGTCAGTCAGTACCAACCTGATAGGTTCAGGTGTCTGTTGGTTAGCCAGAACTGATAGGTTCAGGGTCTGTGCTTCAAGTTAAGTGTTCTGTGTGAACCAAACTGTGTGCATGTATGAATGAGACTAAGCCACGTTACTATATCTTATTCACCTGATCGTTTTATTTTTCCCTGTGTGTTATTAAATAAACCTTATTCTTTTATTTGTTGAAAATCCATCCCTGGTCTGTGTGACTTCTTATAGGGAATGGTTGGTGGCAGCTTAGT